CTGTCGGCACCGTCGTCAGAACCTGCTGCAGGGCTGAACCGGCGGCGGGGAAGAAGCCGAGTGTGGAGGAAGAGAGAGAACATGGTTCGTGGGTTTTTCTTACGGTGTTCGGCAGCTCATGCTGTTTGACCGAGGAAGGTAAAACGGCGTCGGCGGTGTTTGCGCGGGTGAAAGAAGAGTTAGAAGCATAAGGTTGATATGACGTGTGTAGTGATGAATTGATGTGATACTTACCGTTCAGAAGTCTGGCTTCATATAGAAGGGGTGGCAGAATGTCCCTTCCGCTGATTTACCTCTGCTGGAAGAGAATGTTCCAATGAGACAGGAAAGGAAGAGCCAAAGGAATACCCTTCAGTATGAAACTGTCCTCTCCCGCTTGTCGGCCCTTTCAGAGTGAAATGGTTAGCTTTTCTTGTCCTAAAGGCTACGGATTTAAATTTTCATGAAACGTGGATTCTGTTTTCTTGGGGAGGGGGGAGGTGCTTTTTCCCTTTATGATCTTGACCTCTGATCATCTGTGGACCTTTAACTAACTCCAAAAGCCCTTTGGACTCTTTAATTCATCTATCATCCCCAGAATTTGATGCCCCAAACTGGATGCGATATTTGATGTGAAATAATCCTTCTGTCTTACTACCTCAGAAGGACCCCTTCTATTTATGTACAGGAGGGAAAGGTTACTAGAGACGAAGGATAGTCCACGTACCGAAATGACTGTTTTCAAATGAGTGAAAATACTTAGAAGTGAGAATACCACAGGAAGCTCGCTCTGCTCAGTAGCGTTTTGTTGTGTATCTAATGCAAGAGTCGGAGTTTGCAATACGCAAGTAAATTTTCAGTTCTTTAAGTCTGGCCTCTGAAGTACGTTCATGTTTCCATTGTGTCTCCTTTGGGCTCCCTACAGAGGGATGAGACTTGTCTTCTAGATGCCTCCTCACATATGAGATGGGGTTTAAGACTTCTTCAGAAAATCCAGAGGGGAATCACAGTGCTTATGAAGCTGAAATAGCCTATTAGTGTTACTCCTGTGGAGTGACTAATAGAAGGGCACGTGAGTAATGAGATCTTACGTTGTTATAGGGTCAGTCCCACTGTCTTACTGTGTTCCCCTGAACTGCTGTCATCTTCTACCTTTGAAATAGTATTTTGTCTTACAATTGTATGAATGTAGTCATGTGGCTTTAATTGGAAAGAAAAAAGCAGCCTTAGAATGGTAGATCAGGGGCTTGTAGTTACCATCTGTCTCATGCTCCATCTTTTCCTAATTCACCTTCTTGACTTTCATTAGCGCTAACAGATCAGCCCTGCTTCAAATATGTTGCCTTGCTTGGACATGGACAGAACAACTGAAAGGAGCAGAGGAGTCAGGCTTTCCTGTGGGAAAGAGAGAAAGGATTCTGGTGTGCGCTGGAGGAGTGGCAGGGCCTGATAGGCCTTGGCTCAAGGGAGAAGATAAACTATCAAATAAGTGGAAGGTCAATGGTGCTGCGCTTCAGGTGGTTGGCCATAAATGGGTTATTAAAGTATCTGTCGCTTCCCACATTCTTCAATCTATATATGATATTAGTGGAAATTTTGGTAGAAGGAGCCAAGCAATTTTTCATACTCAGTGATTGAGAAGATTCAAAATATTTTCTAGCACAGCCCATATTTTCTTTTTTTAAATTCTATCAGCAAATAAAACTTCAGTACTAAAATAATTATAATTTCGGTATAACAGGTTTGGAAAGTTACAGGACCCGTATGAATTCTCTAGTATCTTTTTATATGAACTGTAGCAGTGTGAGCTGCAAATCTAAATAACTGTTAGTGAATTTTTAGGAGATGGAAAGCATTCACATTACTCTTACTAAGCTAAACAATGAAATAAATCTGCTTTCAAGTCAAGCTTGCCCAGTAGTTTGAGACTTTTTTTTTAGTGGTTTTTTTTGTGTATTTGAAAACCAAAAAGTTAACTTAAAGCTTAGATGTGCACAAAACAGAGCTATTGGTTTTATTTGTATCTTGAGAGTGCTAGAATATCGTCAGACTTCTACACTTTGTCTTTGGACAAGGAATATTTTCCTTTGTCCTGAAGCAAAGGATTCTCTGCAGAAAACTCTTAGTTGTTAAAAGTTGGTGTGTGCAGGAGATGCAATCATTAGTACTTCTTGCTGTACCTGCCATTTTACCTGCTTGATACATTTCCTTATACAGAAGGACCACCATGAGCTGGTGCTTATTCCATCAACACGATGGATTGCTGAATTA